TCATCATGTCCATCGTTGTGATGTATAATGCTGCACCTAGGTTCGTCAGGCAGTGAGTTATCCTTGGCATAGGATACCTGTCCCGGGGTGGTAAAGGTGTTGAGAGCTCTAAAATCTCCACACATACGGGACTTCCGTTGTGCCACGCAATGATGACCGGGGTAGTTACATCAACTTCCTCATCAGGCCCTACCTTGCGTAGAATACCATACCTCGTCAACTCATCAATGTGTTTTTCGATTTCATCCCTGCTACGAGGGCTTGCAGGGTACGCTTGCTTTTTCAAGATTGGTGGATATGGCTTGTCTATAGTTAGCTTAATCTTGAGCTCGTGGCCAATAGCCGTACCTATTGGTCTGTCTCCGAAGGCAAAAGCTTTTCGGTACTTGGATATTACTGCTTTCAGTGAATGAGCTTCAGAGGACTTGAGCCTAGGTGATATATTACATTCCCCAAAGGCTTTCTCAAAGGATTTGTCTTCGGGCTCTGATATGTTATCTATGTTTTTACTTCGGTTGGTACCTAATAAGAATTTTTTCTTTTTATTTTCATTGCCTATCGTAAAATACTTCTCTTTACTATGTACAATATCGATACCATACAGTCTCAAATATTCTCCTCCTAGAATGAAGTAATTAGATGTAGCGTTGTCCATAATGACAAACTCTGGTTTTATTCGTACTGACCCAAGTCTGTGTGGGAATACTATTGGGAGTTCTATGACTCCTATTGCTTTCAGCGTGTTACTGCATCCTCGGAAGGTCATAGAGCTTGGAGGTAGCATTTCTTCCCTCCACTTCGGATAGCATGTGTTAAGGTACTTGGTCCCCACTACGGAGCATGCTGCACCGCTATCTAAAAGGATATCCACTTTATCTTTGTTCTTGATAAGTGCTGATGTGACACAGTGCTGTCCTATAGTGTGGGCTCGCCCTTTCTCTGGCTGGCTCATCATGAGTCTCGCGTCTGACACCTGACTCAATGCGTCTATGTTATCATCCCAGATTTGGGGTACTGAGGCTTTCGATTGTAATTCCGCGATGTCGAATTCTTCCGCCGCCTCCATAGTTATGGTGGAAATCTCTTGTAAACTCAGAGCCGTTGGTGCTCTTCGCTGCCTCTGATTTTCAAAAGGAAATTTGAATGTTCTGTATCCCGATCTTAATTCGCAGAATTGTTCTGTCCCCAGGTATATCATAAATTTAAAGGCGTTCAAATCCTTGCACCCCAGCACTGGATATTTCAGTACTATGTCTTTCACTACTAGAAATTCTGTAGTAATAAAGCATGGTTTCGTCTCGTGTTCCAGTTTGACTGGTATGTTGATCTTCCCTAGCACATACCCGGCGTTTTCGGAGTCCTTCGCAGGTCTCATATCTGCTTCCCATCGTGGGCAGCAAATTCGTAAGTGCGAGACTGGTATCTTCGATGACAGGGTACTGGTGTCGAGTCCTAAAGAATCTTTGATGCCATTAATTGAAATTGATACGAATAAACTAGGATCTATTGCGTCTATCTCGAATTTCTCGATAAATGGGGGGTAGTTACTTTCGACGTGCTCGGCTTCTGCTATGTGTAGGTTATGCGCGAGTTCCTCCAGTGATATGTTACCTTCCTCAGCTAGGTCTGTAGAGTCTGTATCTGTATCATACTCTACCAGCTCGTCATCATCGCTTGTTCTGTAGAACATGTTGATATTATCAATTCAAAGATCGTTCTCATCTTCGCTGGTTTCTGAGGATGGGTCTGAGTCGTCCTCCAGATCTTTCTTAACCTCTGTCTCAGTATCTGACTCGTTCAAGTCTACGGCGTTTATTGCTTTTTTATCGAACCTTGGTTTTCGATCATCCTCCCGTTTGAAGAACGGCTTCTCGCGAGGTTTAAAGCCTGTCGGCCTATCTTTTGGCTCTTTGGAACCGTGTTCCTTACGATCGTCCCTCTGTTTGTAGTTAGAGGTTGACGCCGACTCGTTCGTGAATCTTTTCGAATACGCTGTCTTATGTTTACCGATGGAAGTATGTGTCACTACTTCCTCGAAGATAGCCATAAACATCTCATAGTTCGAATGGTCTGTGATCCGCGACTGGACAGCGTGTTCTATGTCGCCATGACATAGACCCAGGATCTTATCGATTTGTTCTGAGGTTGTTAGCGACGGCCAAGCTGCTACCATTCGTCTCCGCTGTAGTAGGAGCCACGCGAGGGGTTTCTCTCGGTGTTCCCATTTGAATACGTCTCTGTCAAACGCTGTGGACATTCTACGTTTCCATACGTTGGTGCCGTACATTGCCTTGATCAACACTTTCCAGCGTGCCCAGCTGCTCGGTCCTTCTGTGGATCTCTTGCTTGTGTACCAAGCTCTTTCTGAATGTGTCATGATAATCGCTAGCTTGCAGGTGATTGTCGAGTCTGGCATGCCCGTATCCTGCTGGGTGTTGTCTATCCATTCTATCCACTCGAGGTGGTTGTACTCGCCTTCCCCGCTGAACTTGGGCCAGTCCCTAACGGGTGGGTAGTCTTTTTGTAGTTGTTTGACAATGGCTTGTCCTACCGACTCGTTGGATCTCTTATCGTCTGTGTTCAACTTTGAAATGTTCGGCGCTGGATGTGTTGGCATATTGATATCTAGTTCCCTGCCTGCCGGCTGTTGTGGCTGATGCATCGCTGGGAACTCATGGGCGAATGGGTTATTGCTCAATATCACTGGCTCATTTGCCACCGGTATGTGCTCTCTATGTGAGTAAGTGCTTGTACCGTTCTGGTTGTTTGTCCGTTCCACCATGGATATCAGTCGGTTCACATTTCGTTGTATGTGCTCTGTCCTCTGGATAGTGGAATCCAGTTTCTCGCCCACTACGCACATCAGTTCTCCCAGATGTTTGAAGAATACTTCGCTGTGCTCTTTTTGCGAGTGTAGTAGGTGCTGTAAGTTACTTGTCAAGTTTGTTTGATGGTCGTCTAGTACAATGGCTATTGCACTGATGTCTATGTTGTTATTCATATGGAGAATACTATGTCAAATCTCTTCAAAGTTTTCATTCATCTCCTCATTCATGCTTTCTACTCTATTTTCCCATTTGGAATTTAATGTCGCTATTGTTTCCTCCAGCTTACCTGCTATATGAGATTGCAAGGTTTTTATTGTCTCATGCATACGAAGTTCTCCATCTGGAACTGATACATGTGATTTTGGTGACGTTGTCTCACTGCGTATCTTCAACGCTGAAAATTTGTTGTTAAGACTGAGTTCTTTGTCCGGGGACAAGGGGTTCATTTTTAGCGGTCTAACGTCCACTGGTCCCGCTAAAAGAAATGGCGAAATTTCATTCTCAGTTTCTCGAAGTATTTCTTCAATACTTTTAGTTTTCTTTACCGAGTCATCAATCATTGTACGGGGACAAAGCATATTGTCCAGAGCTTGCTGCTTAAGTGGTTCAACTCTCTCACTGATCTTGGTAAAGGGGATCACGTGCTCGATTGTAGAAAATTGCTGTTCTGAGATATTACTAGTCTTAGTCAAGGGTTTTAACCTGACATTTTCTTCGGTCTCAGGGTGGGGATTTCTGGGTGGCATGCTAATCTTACCCTTCTCAGTCATTGAAACAGGACTACAGGCTTTTTCGAAAACATGATTTTTCGGAGACACAACCTTTTTACTTAAAAGAGTGGAAGTAACGTCATTCTGTTCAGACGGCGGGGTTATGTGGGGTACAACTTTTTGGATTGGAACATTGGTTTCGCTCGCAGGCGTAGGATTCATGACAAGGGGTACACTTAAGACATCCTGACTATTTTCATAAACAACGCGGCGGGAAGCGAGAAAAGGACTAGGAGTTGTAATGAAAGTCTTCTGCTCTAGTTGGACGGACCCGGTTGATCTTGGGTCTGTACAAAGGGGGACTTTCCTTTGTTCTTCTGGGACTTGTTGATCCCCTTGATTGCTCGGTAATAGGCTCGGCTGAAGGACAACATCGACTGCATGTTGTTCTGTTCTTCTTCTACGTGAGCTGGTTTCTGATATGGCTCTTTCTGGGCTTTTTGGTGATTCTTGCGGATCGGTCCTGCTGACGAGGTGGATTGTTTCGGTTCTGGGATAGGTTGCGATGCCGGCGTGGTTTTCGGGTTCGTACCGATGAAGCCGTGACTTGTTCTCGCTTTGAACTTGAGTTCCTCGGAGTATGGGTTCCAACCCAAGGACCTCTTCAGCACTTCTTCCTCGCCCAGGAGCATCGTCAAGCTGTTGTGACTGTTCTTCCACAAGCTGAGATAGATCATGATGGCCCTGGTATTGTTCGGGTTCGTCTCTTGAGCCTTTCTCCAGTTGATGAAGTTCTTCTCGTGGAGGGACATGAGGAGTCTCTCTTCCTCCGAGGTTATGGTCGGTGGTAGCTGATCTGATGCTTGATCTTCTTGCATGAGGTCGTGCTGAGGTAGGACCGACTGAGCTGCATCTTTTGGAGGTATCTGAGTATGACGGTCGGCCGAGTTTCTCTTCGATAGCTCGAACTCGGTCAGATTTTCTAGGAGGCATTCCGATATGTTAGTTAATTCAACTTTCCGAAGAACAGAAAACTAAAATAGGTAGGTAAGAAAGAAGATAATGTACCAGGGTGATCTGTGGTACCAATCTTCTCCAATCCAATAGTCGTTATCTCGGTAGTCGAGGTGGTGGTCGTACGAGGTATAGACTGATTAAGTGACGTTCTTAGTTGAATCTTCGGTAAGATTGATAGGATTGGCTTGCGAACCTTTCCTACTACGGTGTTCGGGAGCTGGTTGGTCTGTGTTTCCGGAGGTTGAATGCCCTGCTCCGGTAGATTCACTTCGAGGTAGTATGTATTTGATTAAAAAAGAAGACTGTACTCGTCTTTTGAGATGATTTTTTAAGTAGGTATATGCTTACTTTCGTGTCCTTTCGGCAATCTCTAACTGTATAACTTTTTCTATAAGTTTTCCGACTTGTCGAGAAAGTTCTAGCAGATCGTGCTTCAAGGTGATCAGTTCCTTTGATTGATCGATTTTGAAAAGAGTTTGTTATGGATCGTTTTGAAAACTGAACGTTTTCTTTTTACTTTGGTTAGTTCTCGGGTCTGCTAACACTCGATGAGGCCCCCAATTGTCAGGGTGGCACTTACGCTAGTCGTGTAAGTCTAGTTTAAACTAGTAATCCTGACAACAATCCTATTGGATACGTAGGATTGATAAGATCTATATTTATTTAACAAAAATAAACACAGATGTTAAGAAGCGTGATGGTCTGTAAGATTAAGATTTTATCAAATAGACTTTTGCCACGGCCTACTGCAGATAATAGCAGAGTTGAACTGGTCAGGTCCTAGGCCGAGGAGTTTTCTCAAAGAACTGAAGTTCTAAGAGATGCCTGGGTAAACCGCAGGGATCTTGACAACTTTGGGTTGCAAGAACAATGGTACGTGACCAAGTAGAGTTTTACTGTCTCGAAAACAGGGACAATAAAAGGAAAAGGAGGAGCTTTCGAATTACTACTTACGCCTTCCAAGAGTAACACTTAAGGCTGACACTTCTTGATGGATTTACAGAACTTCTTTTCTTAAAGCGGGTGGAACTATTCTCGATTAACGAGTGGATAGCTGGACTGGGTGCTTGGTGAAAAATGTGCTGAAGAATAAGTTGATGGTAAGAAGGTGTCCTTCCTCTGATTGCTGGGAGAGTTCCTGCTTTTATAGCTTTCTCCTCGTAGTGGCTAACTAGTGGTTTCCCTCCAGGGATCGTATTACACTTCCCAGTTGGGAAGCTCTTGCGGCTGACTCGTGGTTCTTGGCCAGAATGGGAATCGTACTGTTCCTCTGATTGGTTAACTCGTGGTAGCACCCAATTGGGACATGGTACAGTATTCCATTAGGAAACGGGTTAGGGCTTATGGTATTATCGCTGTTCATCTCACCGTATCTTTCAAACGGGGTTTTTGCTTTATTGATCGAATAACTTATTTGTTTGCCTTTGAGACTAGGCACGAGGTGTTTTTATTATGGAATAGTATGTTCCAGTGGTTACCTTTGAGACTAGGTACACGGTGTATATATATTTTTGTTTAATGGTTTTTTTGTTTATTAATTGTAAATCTTATTATTGCATAAATGGTTTTCGTCGTTGTCTTTGAAACTAGACACAAGTTGTGTTTCTGGAGATAAGAGAAAACATGTTAAAGAGAAATATATGTTTTGTTTTTCATTTATAGGTGTAGCTTCTTTGGCTCTAACTAGTGTGAGCTCGGGGGCTGACAAGACTCCTCAAGGTCAATGAAGGTCTGGAGCTAGTGGAGTCTCACCCACTTGAGTTGGTCCTGCCCTGCAATTCACGTGGTGGGCGCGGTGTGATTGGCCTGCCTCAGGGGCATGCCTTTGAGGCAGGCCCTGGGCAGGCCTTTTGGGCTTGATTTTGGGGCTGGCGTGCCCTTGTTAGGTTTAGGCTGGTTTAGGTCTATTCCGTCCAGTTACTGTTTGATTATGGGTGGGAATTTTTGTTTAACATCAATAATATTTTTAATTCACACCTCAAATTGTTCTACTTACAACATATCCCTGATCTCCAAGTCACTATCAGCTACTATTGAGTTAGATAGGGGTCCAAGAACAAGGATTGGGATGAGGATGAGCTTTTTGATTGTTAAATTTCATGACTGTTGATGGGATGTACATGAGTACTGTTATGAAATAATTAGGTATGCTATGTCTGATGTTGTTTGAGCATTTTTTCCCACCTACTTTGCTTTTTTGGGGGTTTTAACACCTTAGAGGCACACCTAAGCGCCCCTACCATAGGCGTGCCTTCGGAAATATCAAAATATGCGCCCAGGCCTGCCCCAAATTCAAAACACGCGCCCACCACATGACCTGCAATGTAAGTCCATTTGATCTTCTTTCAGGATCTGATCAATCACCTTCAGAGAGGACAAGTCATATGTCGGAATGAGAGAAAGGATGATTAAAGTAAAAGACTGACCTCACCGGCATTTTACAGCCTTTTCCAGCATTGGAGCTTGATGTTCCAACAAATACCATATTCAGGAATTGGCTGTGGAAGTTTTTCCTTTAAAAGTGGTTGGATGACGGCATCAAACAGGTTGCACATCACTGTGGATCCACCTATTTTATGCCCTATGACATCATGCTACCAAAAGGATTGTCAGTGAAAAGAAGTCAAAAGTTTAAAGAAAAGGAAGTGAGTTGAAAAATTGACCTATGTCATGAGACTGTTGACCGCATTTGCTACATTGTGGTTGCTTGCCAAAGGTTCAGTGGGAAGGGGATGTGGTTCATGAGTTCCAACAATCACATTGTACCAGCCTGTGCTTTCAGGAGCAGGTTAAAGGTCCACATCATTAACTTTGTCAGGATCTATTTTGTCAGTCAGATTGTTTCCACCTTGAAGAGGTCTTCCATCTATCTCATCGTCTTTGGGCCCCATTCACAAAGTGGTGGCTGGAATTGGAAAGTTGCCAAGCATAGTAGATTTGACAAGGGGAGGTGGCGGAGCTTGTATACCAAGTGCTTGAAGGCCAAAAATGACAGCAAGTGCCAGCTTATGGCAGACACAGCGGACCCGGTGATTCTTGTGATTCCATTTAAGTAAATCATTATTATCCGTGCAGTGTGTTCCTATTTGTATATTCATGGCTTCTGCAAGGGTGCTATTGTTACTTCCTGAATCAAGCGTCTGGGCTAGCATGTAGATGAACAAAGGAATGCAAAAATTATAGAATGAGTTTGAAAGACATATTTAGAGATATAAATAAAATGGCTTATCTTTGTATGAAGGCCATGTTTCATCAAGAGGTTAATCAAAGGATCTGTAAGCCATTCAACTTTGTGATGCCAGGCAATTAACTTCAATGCAAAGTGCCCTGTGACATAACACCAGTCCTTGGTGACAAAAGTCACACTGACACCTAATAAGCCATAGCAATTTCCTGGGGTAGTCCATGCGTTGTGGATGAGACCAAATGAGTATTAAGGGACTGGATCATGAAGTCAGTTAGTTTTTGGTGAAATGTATGAAGAAAATAGGCCAATAGATCAGAAATAAATTGACCACTTACCTTCAGTTTGCCAATCACAGACGCTTGCAGGTCCAAATACGCCTTTTGCGCAAATTTGGCCACCCGCGTCCTGGCAAAAAATTGGGTGTTGGGGTTGGTGTATCAAAATCCTGCCTGTAGATACGGGTCTTCTATCTGTCTCCATGGTTGAGCCATACCGATTACCCACATACCCAGCAAGTGATTGAGTGTTTGGTTGTCAAACTTGGGTACAGTTTGAGCAAAAGCTAATATCAAATTTTGTCCATCAGTAGCATTTTCTTGTTCAGATTGTTGTTCATAGACTGTCAAAAGAAGTTTACATCTGTTTGCGATGGCTTTGGACCTCTTTTGGAATCCAGGCTTTTCTGATTTGCCATCTGGCCTCAAACCATCTCTATGGGCAAGAAGATTGGTGCTGGATGAAGGAGAATGGGCAACCTTGGTGCCACACCATTTGCACGGATAAGTGGTTCCTGCTTGGTCGTTCTTCTGTGTCACCAGATCTGATGTTAGAACAGGGAATCATAGATAGTGTAGCAAAAAAAATGTACATTGACAATTGGAACCATCTCATTGTAATAATTGTGGATGGAATAAAACTGAGCTTCAACCTTGTGTTTCTTTGCAGAGACTTTGTTGTTTTCCTCTTTGGAATCCTGTATGACATTGACCTCAAGATTTATACCAACCTCACTGCTGAAATTGTTGTCAGTTGTTTGGGTGAGCTGATCAGGAGGGTTTGATTGTTTCTTGTGAGCTGATGATTATTTGTGTGGGTTTCGGGGCTTGTGGCAAGGCCGTTCTGAGCTGGAGTGATTTGAAGCAGCATCTTCAAAAATTAATACATCCTTGCACTTGCGCTTGTTTGATACTGGTATGACCAATGAGTTGGAGTCATAATCAGCTTGTCAACAATGGATGGAACACCGGGAGTCAGAAGGTGGATCAATCATATGGGATTGTTTCCTGACTGGGGAGGGTCAATTACTACAACACACTTGTGGATGTGATTTGGCTAGAGCAGAGGAGGAGGAGGAGGACAAGTTTTAGAGTAGAAGACAGCTATAACGTTATGGGTTAGAAATCAAAAGATATAGTAATGATATTGTGAATGAGAAACGGGAAGAAAGGAAGGTGCTTGGAAATAATTATTAATTTGGTTATGTGGTGGATCATTGAAATTGAAATGAGAAAATTGTTGACAAGGGAGGAAGTGAGTGGCCATACCTTCTTGATATGAAGTAACCCGTAAGATAGCCCAGAGTAGTTCCATGACCCAGGAAGAATGTTTCCATTGTTGCATGTCTTTAGTAATATATGAACATGCACGTCAGTGAGGCATGGTGTCAAGGGGAGCGGAGATTAGATCAAAATAGGTGGAATGGATGCTAAAAAGAATCATGACTTACCAATATGGCAATATTGTGATGTGAAGTTCTGAATGCTTTGGCGTTTGATATTGAGATGATCAGACATACATGAGGCACTGTTGACTACTATTCTGGTATTGTACCTATGTTTTTGGTACTGCCAGGGCCAGCACAGTACCTTAACTTTGGTGAAGGTACTATACCAAGTACAGTACCTACACTGAGATCAAAAAATATTTGCCCTCCAGTACAAAAGTTTCCAGAAAAGATATGTACAACACCTTTAACTCTTCCAGCCCCAACTAATGTGTCGTATCTTTTCTGGAAGCACTTGTAAAGTAGTGCCCACACAGGTACAATTCTGGCAGGTACAGTACCGGGAAAAACAGGTAATTTACTGTACTTTACCGGTACTGGTACATACAGTAGCTGTGGCTGCATTTTTGTGTCTTCTTTTAAGCTAAAATTTGAGGGCACATAGAACTCTCACTCAGGAGCTGCCTTGCCATTTTAAATTTTGGCCTATTCTTTGGTTTGGCAACATATTAGTGGTGCAGGCGGTCCATTTCACTGCTTTGACACCACGGGAATTATTATGTTTGAGACCTGATTGAGCAAAGTTGTGGTGTCCAAGTATGCAATAAGTCTTGCTTTTTGGATTGAAACCTAGTAAAGGCAAGGGGGGTACCATGGATTTTAATATGTTTCAATCCAATTTTGAGACTTATCGTGAACTCTGTCACCACATTAAGTTTTGCATATGATTGAACCTAATAGATGCCGTGGTGTGACTTTTGTGCTGCAAGTTGCAGATTGTTTGTACTGTAACAGGGGGCTGAAGCTACTGCATCAAAAAAACTTTCTTTTGGTCTTCATTCCCCCGTTAGGCAAATTTAGTCCTATCTAGTCCTCAAAATTTCAAAAGCCACCAACAATAATTGTCCATTCCCTTTACTTTTGTGGGAGGCTTCCCCTTTGGGAAGAAAGGAGAATTTACTGCCAGACTGGCACACAACATTGCATTTAAATTGCATACAGGTTAATTATCCTAATCATAAGTATACATGCTCATGTCTCCTCATGTACACACAATAGGGGTGTCAAGTTTGTTTCTTTACAACAACAAAAACTATGAAACGGCTAAGTTTCTATGTTTTAATGTTGAAAAAACTTAGCCGTGATAAAGAAAAGAGTTGTAAAAGGTGACCAATGCTTTTTTACTCTTTTGCCTTGATCATCAACCCAGTCATTGGAAAAGAGCTGGGAAGAGGATGCAAGGTTGTCCTTGCACCCACTATCAATCCCAACTGGTTCCAAGAGTGAACCAGTCAAGGTGGGCTCTATGATTGCATGTTGCAAACTTGGTTGTTTACGTCTTACGCAAACGGGATATATAAAACTTCTCCCGTTTGCGTAAAATTTGCTTAAATTTTTGCTACAGCGGGAGAA